AATGATTCAGTTCTTACAGCCGGCCACAGCCCCTACACACACACACACACACACACACACACACACACACACACACACACACACACACACACGCAAGCGCGCGCGCACACACACACACACACACACACGCACGCACTCCACTTGCCCTTTGCCAAAAAGAAAGGAAAAGGCTCATGATCGCCAGCCGCGGGCTTGGGTCCTCTGGTCTAACGCACACCCGCCGGCGAACGCGCCCCTAGCGAGCTGCGGCGCCTCCGGGTCCCCGGCCCAGGCGCGCGATCCCGCCTCCTAACGGACCTGCCTTTCGCTCGCCGGGGCCCGCGTAGCCGGGTAGCCGAGAGCTGCTCTCCGCAGCCCCTGGTCCGAGGGCCGCATCTTCCTGTGCCCCAGCCTCGTGCTCGCCCGGCCTCCCGGAACCTCTGCCCCGGGCGCACGGACGCCCGGGCCTCCGTCAGCCCCGAGCGCCCAGAGCCCTTCGGGGAACTTGAGAAGGGAAAAGGGGTGGGGGTAAAAGGAGGGAGAAAAAGGAGGCTGCCAACGTGCGGGGGAGGGTAAAGCGGGGAGAGAGAGGGAGAGGGGCTCCAAGCCCCACCGACCACCATCCAAACTTTCGGAGGATGGGTGCAGAGGAGAAGTCATCCTGATCGGGGTACGGGGACCTGAGGCGAGCGGGGACCCTTGGCCCTGCCTGCGCCGCTGCGGAGCTGACAGCTTCCCCGGCCAAGAAAGCGCCCCAGGCTCGCGGTGAAGCCAGAACCCGAAAAGACAGGAAAAAGGAGAGAAAACTGCTCGGCTAAATGTGGATGATCCGCCACTTAGTCCAAAAGTTAAATCCCGAAAAACGTAGCCCCCCAAAGAAAGTGGAAAATGAGGTTCCTCGGTGCCCTCGCCCTCCCTCAGCAAAGCAAATCCTTGAGCCAAAAAAGGGGGAAAGAGATAGAAAAGGGGGGCAGAGCGGAAGAGATGGTCGGGATGAGGGGATGTGTGCGAGAGCCAGCGAGAGCGAGCGAGCTAGGGGCAGAGAGGGAGAGAGGCGGAGAGGGAGAGGGAGAGAGAGGGAGCGAAATATCAAAGATTGTGCAAGATCAGGCTGGAAAGATAATCGATACTCGACCTAAATTTAACACAAACTACTCAATAAAAGTTAAAGAAAAAACTTACTTTCCATTTCCCCTGCAGTTCTTACTCGATCTTCGCCTTTTTTGTTTTGCTTTTATTTTACTTACAGCTGATCACATCCAAGTAAAACGAGAGGGTTCATTAAAAAATAAAAAAAAATAAAAAATAATCCTCGAACTTTATTGGGTGAAAATAAAAACGCCGGAGCAGAAAGTGGGGGGCATGGAGCGGTCCTCGGGGGTCCAGGAAGAGTTAAAGCATGTGCCGACCGCGGTCTCGCTGTTTGGTTGTGAAGGGGTTGGGAAAAGGAGGAAAGGAAATGAAAATCCGATATGTCTTTATTCTGCTAATTATTATCGTTTTAGCCCTGTTTAAAAAAATGGCTGATTAAGTTGAGTGCGCATGTCTTTGTGTGTCTATTCCCGATATGCACTCTGGGAATGAGAGAGGAGAGCGAGGGAGAGGGAGAGGGAGGGGGGGAGAGGTGTAATTAGTGAGGTGATCAACATTCCCCAGACTGCAAATGACGCGCAGCCGAGACTCAGAGCAGCCTGGGAGACTCGCGACTTCCAAGGCTCCGAGCGAGCGCTGTGGCTGGAGCCCGGGACTTGGAGACCGCGGAGAGGACAGGGGATGGGGACCTCCGGGGCTCGCGCCCCACGCTCGCCTGCGCTCAACTCCCAAACTTCTTTAAACACACACACATCCCAAAGAGAGCAAGAATATAAAACATAAATACTGTCACAGCAGTGGCCTTTAACCATTCGAGATTTTTTTTTATTTTAATGAGGTAAAGTAATTACTATCGGACCAGAGATTTGTTTACTAGGGAGCTTTAAGCAGAAATGAGTTAGAATAAGGAAGGTCTTTTCTCTGACTGTACTACGCACTTGAACGCACTTTAACGGCGAAATGCGAGGCCTGAGCAAATATGCAGATGTATGTAAATAGAGGGTCCCTGACTACGTGCAAACACCACTCAGCCCAGCCGGTTTCAAAGCAGGAATTGCACTCTGCGTCCGCACGCATTCTATTGAAGCTCGAACCTTTCTCCTACGCAGGAGTGAAAACCCAGGGCGAGAGAGATGGAAGTGGTTAGTTTAGTCAAAGTAAACTTCCAGATGAGAGAGTAAGTGATGGTTGCAAGGATGATACTGGGGTACAGTTCTAGCCTTTATGTAATATTCTTGAATATTTTATCAGAGTTGCATAAGTTCAATGTAATAGATTTAAGAAGATTTAGGGGGGAAAAAAACCTTGCATCTTTCGAGTCTGTTGAGTTATCTTTCTTGAAGCACATTATGATGAATTTTAAAACCCCACTACAGATCTCATTAGAATGAAATATACTTGGTATTTTCTGGTGCAAAATTTAAGGTGGCTGATTCTCATTTGAAAATCTAATTATCTCTTTCCAGTATTACAGATGTGAATATGAGTGACACTTTCATTAAAAGATAATTAACTAAAACTTGAAATAGACATACTTTTAAATACCCCCTACTGAATATGGAATATGTGTGTGTGTGTGTGTGTGTGTGTGTGTGTGTGCACGCATTGCTACTCAGATAGCATCTTGATTCACTGCTGCATCAGCGGTCACAAGTAGACACCATTTATGTAGTATTTCACAAACAGGACTTCCAGAGAGAAGGCAAGAGTAACAAATCAAATGGGCTAAAAACAGGAAATACTTGCAATGTCCAGCTTCCTGGACAGGTGAGGCATCAGTGGCGTTTGGGCTGACAGGCCTTTGAAGTTCCGGATTGCCAGGATCTGTTTCAAAACCTTGTTTTAGGCCTTAGGCATCAAACCTACTAAATACCAACACAGAGGTTTCTTGCACAAGCACTTGAAACTACAGGAGTTGTATCTTTCTATGCCTTAAACCTTGTGCTATCAGGGAACATTTGGAAAATTCTAGGACTGATTTAGATGGAATTAAAAACCTAACCAAACACCTGAGAGAATAAAAGCAGTGCTCAAAAGAGCAGACCTAGGCCCAGATCAGGAAAGGTTGTTGCCTTCAGCAACTGGCTAAGGTTACAATGAAAGTCCAGAGGCTTGCAGTAGAGAATAAAACCTAGATATGGTCTTTATTAAGGAAAAAAAAAAAAAAGCAAATCACCACCTTAGGAATCTGCAGTCAGTATATGTAGCAGTGTTTTAGAAACCAGTGCTACTAAACGTTAACAGAAAATTATCTACCTCTCCAAAGACACCTTTCCATTTCAAACTTCTTTGGGCAAAAATCTGCTCAAAGTGGAAAGATTTCTAAGATTTTAAAGTTATTTTATTTACAGTCCCACCTTCACACAGCAACTCTATCCCCAATTTGCTAGCAGTATCTGATTGCATCTCAGTGGGGTTTATCCATGTGCCTTAAGAAACATACATGCACACAGGGGTAAAATTTAAATTCTCTGTAACTTGCAAGTGAAAAAGGTGTTTATGTAGCGTTACTGTTTACTGAAAAACACCCCAGAGAGCAAACATTCTGACTTAAAACAAAATTATTTGAGGTGTGTGCATGGGGAAGAGGAGTGGGGGCTTTGAAAGAGACTGAGGGGAAATGAAGGCAGGGAAACTTTCAGGTTCAAATCAGAAAAGATCAAGCCCTTTGCTGGAAAGGGCTCCATGTACAAGCCCACTGATGGAAAAACCATTTCCTGTGATTTCAGATGGGTGAATGCCTGTGATGAAGGAAACACCTGAGAACAATAAGTCTGTTTCAGGCTCAGGTGAAGAAAGGAGTCTATTTCTGCCATGGAAGAATAGGGAAATCATGACCATTTAGTTTTCAAGTTATTTTATTGCTTTTTCTCCCTGCAACATCATCAGTAATATTAATGTCATTAATGTCAAAACAACAAAAGTCAAATCAGGAAAGCCATTTTTAAAATTTGGTGACTATCTCCTCTGTGTGTCCACCGTTCCCATCTTTTATTGGGAATCTCTCTCTCTCTCTCTCTCTCTCTCTCTCTCTCTCTCTCTCTCTCGTGCGCGTGTGGTTGGGGGGAGAGATTACTGAATCACAAGAAAACAAAAGGTATTGCGGGGGGACACTTTTACAACCCCTTCTGGAGAGTAGTCCCCTCCTAACGCACATGTGTGTGTGTGTTTTCCTTTTAATCCTCGCTCGTCTTCTTTCACCTCTTCCTAAGAAGAGAGGCTGGGGGTGAGGGTCGGGGGTTAATGGGCTAAGGGGAAGGACCAGAGAGGGAAGAGCGCAGAGTGGAGAGTTTCCTCCAGGGCTCGGCCCCAGTGGCCCGCGGCGAGCTGCGGGAAGAGGAGCGGAGCTGCAGGTCCGGGCGGGG